AAACTTCTCTTCAGAATCTCCCAAAGGCAGTATCGTCAGGAAAGATCAACTGTGACAACTCCCAGTGTTTGTGTGTGTGTGTGTGTGTGTGTGTTTTATTTAAAAGAAACGTGAGCAAACACTAGAACATTTTTAAACTAATTTGTCGTTATCTATTACCAAGGCTTGTACCATAATTGTGCGTGTGTGTATGTATGTACTTATACTTTTTCTAATGCCGTACCTGTGTCTGAATGAGCAAATTGTCTAAGTTTATTTCCACTGCCGCTGACAAACTCACGTACTTGTTTGTATACATGGATCACGTGCAAAATACCACTGAACAAAGAAAATTCGCCACTTCAGTTCCACACGAATGAAAACCCGTTTTTTTCCCTTGCGTCCGGAAACTCTCTGCTCGCTAACAACAACAACAACAACAGCAACACAGATTCATAAAAATATTCATGGGTCAGCGCCAGCACGCAAGTCCGCCTTTGCTTAAACCCGCTAAGTAAACAATAGCACGCCTCAGAAAACGAAATTGTTTTACACACAACTACTGGAATTTCAAAGGTTGGCAATTCTTTCATTGCGCCTCTGAATTTTATCGTCGGAATATTTTCGTTCTTGTTTTTTCTTTGGTTTCTCTTGTTGATCAAACTTTTTTGTTTTCTTTTTAGCTGTAGCTGACGTAGACATTGCTCTTTTAATTTTGAATGCAACTTTTAACATTGTTATGGATATCACGGGATGCCGAAGGCATTATCATTGTTGCCATTTTTAATAGCTAGCTCACTCACCATTATCAACACTACTTCGAGCATCACTATCACCACCATAAATATCTACAACCTTTACGACTTACATCTCCTCCAGTGAAGTTCTTTAACGCTTGCGAGGGGCTTTTGATCCAGGCTATTGAATTTGACCCCTTCCTCTCTTCCTTCTGTTGAATCTTTCCTTCATTTTCTGTTCACTGTTACTCTGTTCTATTCAACCAACGGATATGCCTTTCATTAGAGAATATCATTCATCCTTTCGTGTTCCAAAATCTCTTATTACTGCTATGAAAATCACACTACGAAAACTGTATGACAGAGAGTAGTTAGTAATTTTATGCAGCAGACCTACAAGTAGCACTAACAACCGTGATCCACAGCTTCTCTTTCGACTGCAACTACTGCTGCTGCTACTACTACTACCACTACTGTTGTAGTCTCTGACTGAGTGCATTGCAGATTCTTCAGTTTCTTGCCTCGTCCTTATCATTCAACTTTGACAATATTGTCCATTCAGAAAAAATAAGGACAATGTCTTTCGCTTGCTGCCTGGTAATTTTCGGTGTTCAGGGAAATAAACGATCAGCAGCCCCAAAAATTATCCGACTCTCTCAGAGATATTCCCTGTTCAGTAGAGCATCCAGGATCGATGACTTAAGGGTAGAGGACAAGAAGCTGTTCTTGATCAAGTCTCAAGAGGGTTCTTGTTTGACCTTTTTGTTTTTCATTGTTGCCATGTTTGGAAAACGAGTCTCGAAAGATCGTATATTGGCCACACAAGATTCGCAGAAGTGTCTAGCACTCCTCTGTGCAACTTGTCAGGCCCCGTTTATTAATTGCACCATTTATCTAAGAGCACGTAGAATTAATTTTCGGTGAGTTTACAGTGATTGATCATTCTCACTTTGCCTGCTCACCACTCAGCCCTACTCTCACTGCAGATACTTTTTATGATTTTTTTTGACTGACTACGCCTGCTTTAACTTTCCTTGCTAGTTTATCAGTTCATTTGTCACTCTGCTTCCCTTTTCCCGTTAACTTTCTTAAGCCTTGAAGCACTTTAAGACCCGTACGTGTTGGCGTCATTTTGTGAATATGATAATTATAAAAATGATCCACGACTCTCAAGGGTTTATAGATTCCCAATTATTTTAAGCTACAATATATCCCTCTTTAACTCGTATTTTGATCATACGAAAATGTCTGACACTTAGATGGCTGATTTTAATAAAAAAAAAAAAAAAACGTTTGTACCTTTAAAATTAACTCTATAATAAAGCTGTTGCTACGGCCAGGTTCTGATAATGACCCGAGATAGGCTAACAGCTCTTAAGTCTGAGGGGATACGAGATAGACTACATATAGAGACATTATATATATATTATATAATATATATATATATATATAATATATATATATATATATATATTATATATATATATATATATATTAGAGAGAGAGAGAGAGGGGGGGGGAAGAAATTCTTTTAATGTAACTTAACGGGACTGCAAATTTTTACACTATTTTACCCACAAAAAAGTCAAATCGGCATCTACACAGCTGAATTTCACTCTCCGTAGTCGTCAAATTAAAAGACATCATTGTTTTGAGTGAAGCTACACCTCTGATGGGGTTTATCGAGATTATACGAGCCATTCCAGGATGCTGGAAATGGGTTTAACTTTGTTTAAAGGGCACCTTCACATACCATTGATACTAAGAACCTGATTCTCGTTCCGTGCAGAAGCACTGAAAACGAATTCCATCAGATGAAGCGTTCTCGAGGTATGAGCAAATGAAAAAAAGAAAGGAAAGTAATCTGTCAACAACTTAAAAAAAGCAGCAATACGAAAAGCAGCAGCGGCAGCAGCAGTAGCATCAACAGCAGAAGCATCAGCAGAGAGCAAGCAGTAGCATCAGCAGTAGCATCAACAGCAGCAACAACAGCGTCAACAATAATAGCAGTAGCGACAACAGCAGCAATGACAATAGCAGCAACAGCGTCAGCAATAGCAGCAGCAATGACATAGGCAACAGCGTCAGCAATGAGCAGAATGCTGCGCAACAGCGTCACAATAGGACAGTCAATGACAATAGAGCAACAGTCAGTCCAAATCCACAGCAAAGCTCAGCGTAAGCAGATCATTGTATCGATTTGAAGTGGAGACCTGGAAGTCGAGGATTTGAAGTTTCCCAAATCTCCTTCGCGTGTCACTATGTCCATCTTCACGTGGCTAAATTTTTCTATTCTGTGTAAAAATACTCTTAATTTTCCTGGATAAAAACATATTTCATAAGCATATAAAAATGTATTGTGATTTCCAACTGGTTTGCTCATGTGACAAAGCTCCTGGAGAGCGAAACTTTGCCACAATAAAATGTCGCATTAGTTGCACCTGTGTCCTTTTACCTAACATATTGTCGGTAATTCTGCCAACATTAACACATCTCTTGATTGAGGGACTGATTACCCCCCCTCCCTCCCTCCCTCCCTCCCCCCCCTCTCTCTCTCTCTCTCTCTCTCTCTCTCTTTCATATCTTCCAAAAATTTTCTCCGTATTGGTAATAAAGCCACTGGTGGGCGAAACGTTACCGCTATAAAGATACCCAAGTGATGAACATGAATCTAAATCATCTTTCTGTATTGCTTCACAATAAAATGTCTTATCAATATGCACAGAACGACCAGTTTTATCTGATTTTGATACGTATTTACCAAAATGTAATGAAATATTTAGGATAAGACGCACCATAATATTTTATGCAGTAGCATGCAGGATGAAATACATTACTCTCGTAGCCCATACATTTATATTTATACACACGTAACACACTGGCAGGACAGATTCATTTTTAGCTAGAAGGTAGACAAGAGCTATGCTCTGGAGGCCTGTGTAAGACTTGCGGTTCAGGGTTGCAGATGGAGGCCTCTGCTAAAAATTCGTGAGAGCAATTTGTACCGAGATCAAACCATACCACGGGCGGGGTTAGAACCCGCGATCAGAGTCTCAAAACTCCTTGGCTAACTCGACGGTCTGGAGTTTTGAGACTGATCGCGGGTTCTAACCCCGCCGGTGATATTTTTTTTTATAATTCGTGTCATAGCATGTACTGGATTCACATTCGTTGGGTCAGAGTCAAATGTAACTGACGTCTGATTTACAGATGTCGCGGGTCTAACCCCGCGTGTAGAGGGCATTACATTTCTGAGCAGTAACTTTGGTGAGTAGATGAAACTGTGCGCAAATGCATACCCAGAGTTCGTGTTCCCATAAGGGGGTGCTATAACACCCTCTTGTAAAAGGTCAATAATAACTAAATGTTGGTTCTCGTAGTTTGGGGATAAATTCGAAAATGTCGAATATTCAGCAGGTTCTGCCATGAAAGTAATTTAATGTCGTGTGACTGAAAACTTTTAATGAAATACAAAATAATCCAACGTTACCTAATATAACCAAGAATAACACAACTTATTGGCAGAAATGGAGCTGGCGAGTTTTTGCTGTGATTGGCCCGACACATCGACTCAAACACTATCCGCTGATTGCCCAGACGCGACAGTCAAGCCAAAAATAAAGGTTTTATTTCGCTAATATTTCCCAAAATAACATTTTACTCGAGAAATAACTATTCATTCCATGGTGTGCATAGGTTGCAAGTATCGTAAGGTGGACAATAATGCTTAATATATGCCATGAACCAGCATATATTAATTGCCAAAAGTTACAACTCTACGTCTAGTGTGTTTAGCGCTTAGTTTTGATAATAATAATAATATGATCGTAATAATATAATTGTTCATTTCATTTGTTCTCGATTCATTATGTAATACATATATATTTTAATTTACAGATCTGTGCATTAAATGTTATTATTTAAACAAAAGTGTGTTGTGCAAGCATTAAATTACTGAGGGCGAGTAAGGATAGACTGAGCAGGGATCATCAGCCTCTGGAAGCCGCCACGTTCTTTCAACAAGTGACGTCACAGATAGCAAAAGTGTGTGTATATTGGTGACGTCACAGATGGTTAGGGAGGGCGAGAATGACTGCATTATCGCCCTGGAGATAATCGCTGCTCCTTTCCCCATAGATTTTTACATATGCCGTGACAGCCATTTCTAGCCGTCTCTCTCGCTTCCTTATCCCTTTTCTCCATCTCTCAATCTCTGTCTACTGTACCCTACTCTCACTCTCTTTCTCTCTGGATCAATATTAACCAACACTCTCTCTACTTCAGGTGATCCGGGCAGCTAGTCCTGTCCTACTGTGCATCATTATCCTCGGCGCTTGCTTCATCTACTCTACGGTGAGTACTAATGACACTGTGTAAGAGTACCTGTCTTTGATTTCCTGTTCATAGTTTCAGGAGCTGAACAATGTTCATGGCGTCCCATCTATATTATGTTTTGAACATCCTCTAGATTGCGACCCCACAACAGTCGACACACGCCCAGGTACCTATTTACTCCTAGATGAACAGGGGTTAAACAGGTCTGACCTTGCTCAGGATGCGACCCTCAATATAATCAACTAACACTCAGTGTTGTGGGACCCTGATGCTGGTTAACTTGATTCAAGCAATTAAGAGTTACCGTCGTCTTTCAATTAAACCTGATCACCTCCCATTCCCCATGAACTGGTTACCTTTTATGGGTTTAGCGTTTTCCCATAAATATAGTAAGTAATTGCTTCAGCCTGCCCGGAATCACACTCCACCGAGCCACATGGTGTACTCGCCTATTGGTGGTTCCAGGGGTCGATTCACAGCTCCAGGCCACGCCTCTACTAGGTCCACTCTCTCCCTGATCCACTAGTTTCATACCTCTTCTTAAAGCTATGTATGGATCGTGCCTCCACTACATCACTTTCCAGACTATTCCACTTCCCATTTGTTGGTGCGTATGTCTGTGTACTTAGCTATTTGTGGCTGCAGGGGTCGATTCATAGCTTCTGGACCCACCTCTTCGGTGGTTGTTACTAGGTCCACACACTCCCTGCTCCATGAGCTTTATCGTACCTCTTCTTAAAACTATGTATATATCCTGCCTCCACTACAGCACTCTCCAGATTGTACCACTTCCTGAAAACTATGACTGAAGACTGAAGCAATTCTTCTTAACATCCTTGTTACTCATATGAGTTATCAACTTCAAGCTGTGACCCCTTGTAGCTGCGTCCTATCCCTTAGACATTATGTCCCTATCCACCTTGTTAATTCCCCTCAGTATTTTGTATGTCGCATCATGTCTCCCCCTATCCCTCAGGTCCTCCAGTGTTGTTAGGCTGAATTCCCTTAATCCTTATAGAACATACCCCTCAGCTCCGAGACTAGTCTTGTTGCAAACTTTTGCACTTTCTCTAATTTCTTGACGTGTTTGACCAGGTGTGGGTTCCATACTGGTGCTGCATACTCCAATATGGGCCTGACGTACGCAGTGTACAGAGTCATAAACTATTTCTTATTAAGGTGTCGAAACAATATTCTCAGGTTTGCCAGACTCGTGTACTCGCCTATTTGTACTCACCTATTTGTGGTTGCAGGGGTCGAGTCATAGCTCCTGGCCCCGCCTCTTCGCTGATTGCTACTAGGTTCTCTCTCTCCCTGCCCCATGAGCTTTATCATATCTCGCCTTAAAACTATGTATGGTTCCCGCCTCCACTACGTCACTTTCTAGGCTATTCCACGGCCTGACTACTCTATGACTGAAGAAATACTTCCTAACATCCCTTCGATTCATCTGAGTCTTCAACTTCCAATTGTGACCTCTTGTGTCTGTGTCCCATCTCTGGAATATCCCGTCTTTGTCAACCTTGTCTATTCCGCGCAGTATTTTATATGTCGTTATCATGTCTCCCCTGACCCTCCTGTCCTCCAGTGTCGTCACGCCGATTTCCCTCAACCATTCTTCGTAGGACAATCCCCTTAGCTCTGGGACTAGTCTTGTTGCAAACCTTTGCACTTTCTCTAATTTCTTGACGTGCTTGACCAGGTGTGGATTCCAAACTGGTTCTGCATACTCCAGTATGGGCCTGACGTAAATGGTAAACAGAGTCTTGAACGAATCCTTACTGAGGTATTGGAACGCTATCCTTAGGTTTGCCAAGCGCCCGTATGCTGCAGCAGTTATCTGATTGCTGTGCGCCTCAGGAGATATGCTCGGTGTTATACTCACCCCCAGATCTTTTTCCTTGAGTGAGGTTTGCAGTTTGTGTGTGTGTGTGTGTGTGTGTGTGTGTGTGTGTGTGTGTGTGTGTGTGTGTGTGTGTGTGTGTGTGTGTGTGTGTGTGTAATCAATTATATGTACCCACCTAAACGTGAATGTAGGGTTAGAATCTCAGCTCCTGGCCCCACCTCTTCGCTGGCCTCTACTGGGTTCACACACTCAATCGTACCTCTTCTAAAAACTGTACATGGATCCAGCCCTGACCATTCCACCCAGTGTTCCATTTTTGCAAAGATTGAAGAAATACTTTTTAACACTGTTCCCTTTACTTCCATTGCCTGTGTTCCGCCCAACAATGTGTCCTTGCCCCACTTTATAAAATCCTTTAAATATTTCTTACGTTATACCCCCCTTAGTCCCCCTTTAAATACCATCGGGTTTTAAACTTCCTTTTAATCCCCCATATAGGACAACCCCTTAGCCCGGGACAACGTAGTTAAAAATCTCGCTTTTTTCCCAGTTTCTTTTTATGCGTGACAAGGTGGGGGGTTTCATTTTGGCGCCCCATACCCCAAATATGGGTGGTTTGGTACACCGACACTGTCGTGTGGGGTGTACCGTCCTACAATTTTTAAATATGAAGCACCAATGGGGAGTATGGAACCTTAGAAAGTTGGGTGTACCTTGCTTAGGTGGCGAAAGCAAATTTTTGATTTGTCACACGCATCTGCATTTTTTCCGTTGAAAAATCTCAACGTGTCTCGTGTAATGATCAACTTGAGCGGGTTTTTGCAATTTTTTGCCCGCCTATCTTTACTCCGTCTGCGCCTTTGCCCATTCCCAATTTTTTTAGCTTTTATTTGGGCAGCACTGCTTTATTCCGGCCTGCAGCCCATCCGGTCCTTTGTAGTCTTTCCTGGTCTGTATTTTTCATACTATTTCAAAAATTTGTGAAACGCTACTTCTGATATTCCTTAAATTTATGTATTCACGACTAAAAAATAGTCCGGTTGTAAAACCAAACCTCAGGGTCCCCCCCACCTCACTCACCCCCTTTTGAATTTTTTTCTGTAACAGTAACTGTTTTTTTTTCTTCCTAAAAATTTTTCCCTTTTGGTTCAATGAGTGCTTTCCCTGTTTTCCCAGCCTTCTTCAAAAGCATCTGTCCCGTCACTTGTGTGGTACTCTGCGAAAAAATTTTTACAGTCCAAAAATATGCAATCCCCCCAATCCTCTCTTTCTTCTATTTCTGAAAAACCCAAAAGGTTTGTAAGGTGGGATTTACTATTTCAAAAAACTGTGATGATTGTCCTTTTTGAATCCGCTTCTTTCTGGGAGCTCCCCCCACTCTTCTGTTTTCTTTTCCATAACCTTGCATATGACATTTGCCACAGACCCGAGTTTAACAATGTCTAATTTCTTAAATATTGGTGCTACATTGCAGTCTGATATCTGCTCTGTCTCGATTGATTTATTGAAGTCGTTGTTAAGGGGTTTCATTGTTTCTGTTTCTCTGGGGAAATATTTGGTCAACGCCCTCGGGGGGTAACTACTCTTTGTTTTCATGATTTGGTTTCCCTCATTTGCTGAACATTACATACCGTTCGGGCTAGTAAACCCTTTCCCGTCTCTCTGAGAAAATCCCTTTAAATTTTTGCTGGCTCCCGAAGACTTCTGATCTTCCCGCTTTTTTCTTCAGTCTTGATTGCCTTGCCCCCCTACTGTTTCTTCTATGTGGGTTTTATAGTATCTTTTGGGTTTAGATTTTTTTTTCAGTGCTTGCTTCTCAAATACCTGAGCCTGGCTTTTTTCCCTTTTTTTTCATTTTGCTCGCTTCCCTTTTGCATATTTCCCTGAACTATCACATTGCTTTTGTGCTCTGCCCCTCCCGGGAAAACCCTGGGCTCTCAAATTTTTCCCTATGCACCCTCCTGAAAGGGAAACCCGAAAGGTTTATTCTAGGGGGAAAACAATTTTCTTCTCTCATTATTTTTGAATAATTTTTTGTAAAACCCTCAAAATGTTTAGTAATTTGGGGATACATGAAAAATTTTTAGACCAACAAATAATTATTTTCAAACGGGTTTTTTCCTATTGTTGAATTCATTTTTTTTTTAATGGGATTTTTCCAATATTTTTTTAAAGCACTTTGTCAAACCCAAACGACCTATAGTTAAAAAGGCTGGGTTTTGTCACCCCTTTTTTTAAATTGTCTCTGTTGGTGTGTGGTGTGTGTGGTGTGTGTGTGGTGTGTGTGTGTGTGTTGTGTGTGTGTTTGGGAGGATGGGGGGGGGGGGGCATGGAAGGGGTGAAGGGGGGTTTTGATCGTTTTTGTATTTACAGTTGCAATATTGATTCACAGCTCCTGACGATGCCTCTGCAATTATCATCTTATTTTAAAATTCCCTTTCCTCTTCGACACTCTTGAGTCTAAGTTTGAGGCTATTTGTAGAGTCTGCCTCAAACTCTAACCCATAGCGTTGTACTTCATAATTACCAAATAACTAAAGGATTTCCTAACATTTCTTTAGCGCTTTCTTCTTTTTCATCTTCCATTTTTCTCACTTGCCCTGGTTTTCTACAATTATTTGTTTTTTAGATTTAGATTTTGCCACTGAAGTCACTAGTTTCTTGCGTACCCCATGTCCATCCTGTGGGCAGTAGCACAAGATCACATGGAGACAAAAGGCCTAGGAACTAGGCCCAAAAAGGGTTAACAGGAGTACATCTGGATTTATATCTACAGTTCACTTATGTGTTACACGCAAATTTAGGGAATTTGCTCTCTGTTTGCCTTCTTAATATATGTGTATTTGTAGGTCATGATTATATTTGGTCTTCCACGGTAATCTAGCACACCTTTCTCGTTTTTCCTTGTATCTCAGCTGGTCTACAGCAGTCCCTTCGAGAATCTGAGAAACAATGCATCATCCGCAAATTATACACATACATACATGCACACACACACACATTATATATATATAATTTTATATATATATATATATATATATATATATATATTTTATATTATATATAATTATATATATATATATATTATATATATTTTATATATTATATATAATAATATATATATAATATATATATATATATATATATATATTTATATATATATATATATATA